TTGATAAGGACCGTAATTTTAATGAGGAAAGGTATAAAAGAGGATTTGATTGCTTCATTTCACTATAAATACAAGAACTTTATTAAATTTTTAATTAGTATAGTTTATCTTGTCTCGAAGAAAACATGTATTGAAAAGAGCAAGAAACGCTTACTCAAAATGGGTAAAGAGGCTGCAGAAACAGTATTGAAAGAAACTTTTCAACCAATAGTAACACCCCTGGAAAAGTTGGTGAACATAACTGACATACCTTTCAAAAATATTAAGAAAGAAAAAGTTAAAAAGGAGGAAAATGATTTTTCTTTCTCAACTGCTGTTGATGAGGAAGAGGAATTTGATAAAACACTACTCAATGACACTCTACTTGATAAGAGCAACAACTTGGGAGAAGAAGAACAAGAACTTAATTATGAAAATTTGACAAATAAATTTATTTAATTATTGAATAAAAACAGGAAAAGTTTTTTAGACATGGTTTATGGAGTACGTAAGCTTCCTAATGGTTCTTTTATTATTGGTGATACACCAGTTGATTTAGAAGGTCTACATATTAAACTTGCTGGAAAGAAAAAATATTTAAAAACTGCTGGGTTGATTGAACTTTTATTTAAACAAAGACCTAATCATGCATTAATAAGTCCAGATGATCTGGAAAATTATAAAGAAATTCTTGTAGCTACAAATGCACACCGAAAAAATTATAGTTCCAGTGGGCTTGTCAACGTAACCAGGAATTCCAAATACACTGATGTCATTGCAAAACTTTTTAAGGGTACACCAAAGAAGGGAAGTGGTGTTTTAAAGAGAAAGAAGAATCTTGGAAAGAAATTACCTCAATTTATGATTTCAAAGAAACAATTTAACCCAGACTACGTTTATTGGGATGATCCAAATGAACTAGTTGACCGATTACGTCTGCTAGTAGCATCGCAGCAAGCTGGAAATCCGAGCCATAATAATGAAATTATGTCAATCATCGAAGAACTACGTGAAGCTCACATTATATTTTAGGAGAGTACAAGCAAATAGAGCTTAGTATTAAAATGAGCATTTATGTGTTTGGACATCCCTTGTCACGGCCTCTTGCAAGTCGTGGACTTCCTGGACCTTCTGGAATTGGTTTTAAAATTACTCCAAGTGAACATTACGACATTGATGACAAAAGACTCTGTAACGTGCAAGACGCTAAAAAGCAACAAGACGCTGTAAATTTAAGACTTGCACAGAAAATTATTAAAAACGAGATAAAAACAGTTTTTCAAATTACATCTTCTTTAAGATTAGCTATTGATGATTTGAATCTTTATATTCGAATTATCGAAGATAGAGTAAACGAAAAACTTAAAAAAAATTTAATCGCAGCAAAATTACATTATTAAAGAGGCTAAATTTATACAACAGTGATGGATGATAAAAAATTAACAGTTGTATCTGAACTGCATAAACAAGCTAGAAGAAATTATCCTCGTCGAAAAGTTCAAATGCGTGGTATGGATGAAAAATGGCAAGCAGATTTAGTTGAAATGATACCTTATTCTTATTCTAATAAAGGTTTTAAATACATGCTTACAGTTATAGACATATTTTCCAAATATGCCTTGGCTGTAGCTGTAAATAGTAAGAATGGAAAGAATATTTCTTTGGCCATGAAATTGATATTAAAACAAGGCCGAATTCCCAAAAATTTGCATACTGATAGAGGAAAAGAATTTTACAATTCTGAATTTAAGAGTTTAATGCAAGAATTTAACATTAATCTCTATTCTACCTATAGTAATTTAATAGCTTCAATTGTTGAAAGATTTAACCGCACTCTAAAAAATATGATGTGACCTAAATTCAACTTACAAGGAAATTATAAATGGATTAATCTTTTACCAATTCTCATGTCAAAGTACAATAATAAAAAGCATCGTACTATTGGTATGAAACCTAAAGATGTCACCGTAGAAGATACAAGAGAACTATTGAGACGTATCCGTAAACTACGTAGAATTCTGCTGAAAAGATCAAAATTCAAAGTTGGAGACAGAGTTCGAGTTAGCAGATTAAAAAATATCTTTGAAAAAGGATATACTCCCAACTGGACAACGGAAATATTTACCGTGGATAAAGTTAAATCAACAAAACCAGTTACATACAAGCTGAAAGATTACCAAAATCAACCCATCGAAGGTGGTTTCTACGAAGAAGAATTGCTGAAGGTCCAATATCCAGATGTATAGTTAAAGTAACGTTAAATTAACATTAAAGTATAGTTAAAAAAAGTTAAACTATAGTCAAAATAAGTTAAAGTAATGTTAAAAAAAGTTAAAATAAGTTAAGATAAGTTTAAAAAGTTAAAATTAATTCATGTAACTATATTAAGGTTTATTTAAGATAAAGAAGACATAAAATAAAATGAACATCTTTTATTCAAACAAACAATTACTTTCTCTCTCTCCTAATTAACAATTTTTTTTCTATTTACAATGGTTCATTTTCTTCTTCTTTTTCCATAATGTCTACAATTTTACAGAGTCCCCATGCAAGGGTGTCGGTGCTGTTTGCTAACAAATATCTCTTGTCATCGTAAGGACTTAATGCAATCTTTGTTTATTTTAATGTTTGGACTTTGTGAAGTTTTGACCTGATTGAATACTGCGTTCTACGTTGCATTTCAACATTTTGTAAACAATATACATAATCGTCAAAATTAATATTTTTCTTTACAACGACGTACTTTACACCTTTAGCCTTTTTTATTAAATCTTTCTCTTCAACTCGCACACTATACATTTTGCTCCACAAGCCAACAAACTCTGTTACAATTTTTCCGTTGCACTCATCCTTCATCATTCCTAAAATTTTTTTGTTGGCTTGCGGAATGCTGTAAACGTTATTTACATGGAAATCGGAAGTATCAAATTTATGAATGTCTTCTTTCATGTCTGCATATACATCAGAGCATTTAATTTCATAGATTAGGCTGTCAGTGTCAGTATACAACAATTTCAAATTTTTTTTATTATACTTTTTTAGCATATAACCATAGTGGAAGTCGTAGATTAAAGTTTTTGAAACATCTAAAACTGCCAAGCCAACATAAAGTGCGGTTTGTTCATAAAAATCTCCATTTTCCTAAGTTCTACAGCAACTAAATTTTCATTAAAGATGGTCCTGCTGTGGAAATTAGGTTTTGCTATTAGGGCTTCAGCTCCATATCTACCCTCCCACTTTGTCACAAGTTTAATTTCAACTTGTTCCCGCACGTTCTCCATTGTTTTGCCAAATACTGCATTATTCATTAATTTAAACAAGTTTTTTTCAAATTCATTACTGGCGTTTGTTCTTTGCGTGGTATTAAAGTCAATGTAACTCTTAAGCCAAGTAGATTGTTTGAATGTTAAGATGCGATGAATGTGAATTAAAACTAAACCGTTGTCAATAGCTTGTTTTAAGGCACGATAATGGAGAACGTGCTTTCGTTTCGGTAGGAGGGTAGTAAGGAGCTTTTGATCTTTTGATCCTGGCGGCTTTGAGCGTTCTAGGCAAAAAGGGAAATCACTAGGTTTATCATGAAGTTGATCTGGATAATCCAAATCAACTTCAAGGATGTACCCAATTGGATCATCATCTGAAACATTAAAATCGAAATCAATATCAAGATTTTCTTCCCACTCAAAGCCGCCATAGGGTAGAGATTGAACCATGGCCCAACCATACAAGTTATTTGCGTCAAAGTACATGATATAAGATGTTTCCTCACTCTCATTGTAATTTTTCATATACTAGCGCAGTCGACGGCCGCAAGCGGCCGTCTCCTTCGCTCTTATGCTATTGCTCAATTCAGTTCACTGCCTGATTTTCAATTATAATTTCTTTTTCTCAATTTAATTCGCTGCTAGATTTTCAATCATAATTTTTTATGATATTTTATTTGTATGTTTCTGTTATGTTCAATGTAATGACATAAAAGAGCTTATTGTGGACATAGCCTAAGGGCGCTTGCACACTTCCAAAATTTTGGGAGAGCAGCGAATTTTCATGGCCTTGAAACTCATATTACTAAATATGATTGGCTCTACAAAAAGCTGCGTGAAAATGTACTTTGTCAGAGCCAATCATATTTAATAATATGAGTTTCAAGGCCATGAAAATTCGCTGCTCGCCCAAAATTTTGGAAGTGTGCAAGCGCCTTTAGAGACTCGATAACAGCAAGAATAAATTGCGCCTGCCTGAGCAGGCAGTAGAGCTGTGCGAACGCCTTTAAACAGAAAGCTGAATTACATGAGAGTGAAAAATATAATTCTGTCGACACTCTCTTTTACTCACAAAATTCTTCTTTCGGTTTTACGCTTTCTGCTTAGGGTGCATTTATTTGTCAGATTCTAAGTAATTGCACATTCTGCTTATAAATTTAAATACTTTGAATTAGTCAAAATTCGTTATTTTTTTCATTTATATATTAAATTTATACTCTACTTGAGCACTGTCAGAATCAACGTGATAATGATTAAAGTAATCACATATCACGTCATTCTCATCATTCAGTGCTTAAGAAATAAAAAGGACAGTCTGGTAAAGGCTATTATTCTTCGTAAAAGACAAATTCAGTTTTAGGACAATTAGTCAATCGTACCATTTAATTTTTTATTAAAAAATTTTTATTTCTAGAAGGCTGAAGCTAAATTAATCATAGATTTCTTTAAAATCAAAATTTTTAACAATATTTGATTGCCGTTGATCTCCTAAGTATATTCTTACTGAGTCCCATGAACGAACACGTGATAACGCAACATAAAATTGACCATGATTAAAAAGTCTCGTCTGAGATCTATTCCAATTTTTTCAAAAGTTTGACCCTGAGATTTGTTGATTGTCATTGCGAAAGCTATTTTTATTGGAAATTGTCTGCGTCCAAACTGGAAAGGGTACCGATCATCACTGTATAAAGTTATTCGATTTATGAAAACAATTTTACCAAATTTATCTCCGTCAGTTAAAATTTTACATTTTAATTAATGATTTTGTAATTCTAAAATTTGGAGTCGTGTTCCATTACATAATCCTTCATTAATTGAAAGATTTCTAATTAACATGACAACTGTATTAACTCTTAATCTTAATTCATGTGATGGTAAATTTGTCGGATTCAACGTTTCTAAGTATTCTGGTAAGAGAGCTTCCCTAATTTCATCATTATCACAGTCTTTTACAGTATTAACACTGGTATAAATTTTTTCACTTGAAGCATCTAATAGCTCAACGACTGATTTGTTTATATCATCAACGTCAACATTTCTAGCAGATAGTATTGCCATTTTTGCCAATTTATCAAATTCTTTGTTTTTAACTATGTTTCCATAAACGTCTTCTGCAATATTGGTATTAGGAGGAGCAATACAATCCATTGGTAATTCTAAATCATTATCATTGAGGTTAGCTACTCCATCTCCAACCTCTAATAAAAACTTTGAAAATTCTTTTTCATGTGGCAAGGCACGCATGTTTTCTGTTAAAGAAAATTGAGAAAAGGATGACCACAAACTGCTAAATTTAATACAAAGATTCACTAACTCACTGCGAATTGCATTTTGTTTAACTGGTAATAATTGTCGAAAATCGCCTCCAAGTATCATTATCTTCCCTCCGAAAGGCTTATTACTATTCATTATGTCTTTCAAATTTCGATCGACCAGTTTTAGAGCATGTCTTGGAGCCATGGGTGCTTCATCCCAAAAAAAGACATCGATACTTCTTAAATAATCTGCATCTTTGGATTGTACCTTAATAGTTGGAGATGAGTCTCTGTAAATTGCAATTGGTAGCTTAAAAGTTTTGTGTACAGTTTTACCTTGAGGAAGTAAGGTAGCTGCAATACCAGTAAATGCCATAGTACAAACTTTTTTTCTTTGACTTTGGAGTAAGTAGTATAAAGTTGTGTAAACAAATGTTTTTCCAGATCCTCCAGGCCCATTAATGAAAAAACATCGACATTTATTATCATCTGTTTGTTCATTATCTATTGTGTCTAAAACAATATCGACAATTTCTTTCTGTTTTTCATTAAGTTTTTCATATTGTTGAGTCCCAACAGCTTGATATTGTTGAAACATCATTTCAGATTCAATATCTTCTTCAGTTTCTGATATTTATGGCATTGTAGAAAAATTTGTAATACTTGAATTCTCGGCAGCAAGCAATGTATTTATATGAATATATGCATTTCTTTGCGCAAAACTTTCAGGCATTGTTCTTAAATAATCATGAGATAATGCTTCTTTAAATTCTTCCCATAATTCTTCAGGATGTATAGGTTGGCAGTGTATTAAAATACGCACAAATAAGTGCCGCAATTGTCTAGGCATCATCCAAACTTCTGCTTCGTGCATAGCATTTTTCCACTCATTATCATCTTCAATTAAGCCCAGTGCTAAACATGCAGATACAAAAGTCTCATGTATTATACCATTTACTGTTCTCAAATCTTGAAAACTTGTAGCTCCTTTCACTGTGTTTAATAATAATCTCAAATGAAATAATTCTGTTTGAGATGGACTTACTGAATACATACGACCCAACGTATTAAATTGTTTTTTTCTTTTTTGCCAGAAAGAACAGTTTTTCTCCTTTTTAAAAACATAATGAAATGGCATTTCAGAATAAATATATTTTCTAGCTTCTGGATCACGTTCATTTATACTAAAATACTCTGGAAGTTCTGTTGATCGGTTTAGTGCGGATCTAATTGAATTTGAATCATCAATATTTTCGACTATAACAGTTTGTTGATTTGGTAAATGAACTGGAAGTCGATAAATTGAATGACTTTTACCTTGCAAATTGTTGCTTAAAATACGACCACATGCTTCGGGTGGACTAACATAGCGAGTTTCAATGTAACTTTTTATTTCATCATGGTCAATAACACTTCTTTCGTCATTGCTTGGTGTATCTTGAATCACAACAGACGCAGCGTCATGTCCTTTAAAAATATATTTATAAAGGTATTTCACTGCTTTAATGCTAGTAACAACTTCAACATTGATATGGCAATTTAAAGCCAATAACAGACTTTTATTGTGAGGTACAACACTTCGATTGTCATATTCAAATCCATCGCGACGCGTGTAAGTGCCAGTATTTCGGCGCCTGTAATGTGGATAACCGTCTTCGTCCATATTTGTTTCATTATTAAACATATGTGGGTAATTTTTAGAACATTTTCCTTCATTATCTAAACACCAAGCTCCACAGGGCCCATGAATCATATTGGTCTCAACGATTTTATGTAATCGTAAATTTTCAGTAGGATCTGGAATTTCAGCTGAAATAAACTTATCAACAACTTCAGGTGTTGTAATTTTAAAATTTGGTTTTAAAGTTATTAGCAAGTGAACGTGTGGTAATCCTCGCTTTTGATTTTCGACTACGTATACATATGCTTGAACTTCACCAAATAATTTCTGTTTGACTATTATATTAATAAGCTCTTCTTTTTTTAATTCAAAAACGCGAGCAACTAAGTCTGGTCGGTCAGACGCAGTTTGTCCACTGAGTAGATTTTCTGTAATTTCTCTCCATTTTGGATTGCACGTCATTGATATAAATAAATCAGGTTTACCAAATTTCCGAACTATAGTCATTGCATCTTGATAGTTCTGTTGCATATATCTTGGTGATCCGGGATAAGTAGAAGGCAGAATAACAACTTTTCCAATGCGGCTATTTGTATTTTCTGACCTATTTTCTAAATGCTGTAAGAGTCCTTCATATGAATCAGCACGTAACTGTTTTTGGTTGTTTTTTAAGAAATTCATTCTATCTTTCTCTGATTTAACAAAAAAATCTACAATACATTGTTGAAATAAACGACGTCCCATTAGAATGTAATTTGAATAGTCTCTTATAGCTATGAGATATTTTACATAAGCGTTTCTGGTAACTCTGCGGTTACTGCCAACCATTTTAATACCATCATACCAACCTCTGTTTCCATAAGGATAAAATAAAGGATATGTCCAAGGTTCGACATTTGCATCCATTGAGCTGACATATTGCAAATTTTTTGTATTTTTATTACGTACTGTGACATATGATTCTGGAATTTCACCATCTGCTGTAGTTGAAAAGATTGCTGCTACTTCATTAACTCTTTGAAAATTAAAACGTCTTTTATCATGTCCTTTTTTAAGTGTAAATAATAATTCCAATTCCGGTTCTTTACCGCCATTTACTTCGGTCAAAGCATCCAATTCTTCTTTCATCATTTGATAAGAGTGTACAAATATATTATGTTCTCTCATTACGTTTTCAACTACTTGAATAACTTGTGCATTTAAATCAGAATTCATATTTAACCGATGATTTGTCGCTTCATTAGCATCAAGTATGAACAGTTGACCGTATTTTGGCAATTCATCAATCTCTGGGTATAATGCTGTATTGAATTGATAGTAAATTTGACCATGAATTTTAAAGCAGTAGGGTCCTGGTCTTCTGTTGTTGAACTCTACTAAATTGGCATTAAAAGATGCAAAAGAAAATGAACTATTAATACAACGTATTTGATTGAAAAAATGACTTGACCAAACATGAGTACCATCAAAGAGTTTTTTTAACATTTCTGGTGGATCTGGTAATGGATCTAATTTTACGTTTCCATGGCTACAGCAATCGTTAAAAGAGTTTCCCTTATTGGATACTTTTTCTGCTACAAAGTGTTTAGCATTGCAATGAATACACAGAATATCCATTGCTCCAAGATAATGCTCATTTATTTCATTAGTTAATAAAGGAAGGCTTAAGTTAGCATAACTGTGTTCATTAAAGTGATAATTATTTATAAACTGAGTTGCACTTCTGTCATGATTTTGTGAAGAATTGCAATAATCATGTTCTAATAAATGGTTACTCAAGAACGTGTCTTCGATATAGTATTCTGCTCTATTTTTATGTAAAGCACTTGGTTCGATATCAGTTTCTATTCTGTTTCTTTTTGTAGGAATATCTGACTGAACGTCATGAACAAATTTATTTTTTTGTCGGTTTGATTTTTTTTCTCGATTTTGCATCATTTTTTGGATGAATACTGTATTAATTAGCTTATTTTCAAAATCTTTAATAACCTTTTTGACTATTTTTCTATTTGTTTATTTTTATATTTGTCTATATTACAATTTTTGTTTTTTGGTCTATTTCTCTATTTGTCTATTTTTCTATTTGTCTATTTTTCTATTTGTCTATTTTTCTATTTTTCTAATTGTCTATTTTATTATTTTTTGCCAATTGATGGTTTATTTTTCAATTTGTAAATTTTTATATTTGTCTATTTATCTAATTGTTTTTTTCTATTATCTGATTTTTAATTTTCCTTTGTGTACAATCTGTTTTAATTTTATATATCTATATTTTGTGTCAATTTTTTGACAGGTCTATTAGAATATTGGAAGATTTAAAATATTAAAAGAATAAACAAAAGTTAAACAGAAATTTGTATTACAATTTAAAAAATATAATTTATTTACCTTTAGCAAAGATAACAAAATATGTAAATGACGCCGTCCCTTTAATGATAAAAAATAGAAAGATATAAAGTAATTAATAACTTTATTATCTTTGACAATTTATATCTGTCACAACGAATATTTAGCAATTTTATTTGCTTAAGAATATTTCGCACTATTTATTAGGCTTCACAGCACTTTTATTATGTGTAATTATGTGTAATCTAAACAAAATATTCGTCTACATTTCACTTCGCTGAAAGAAAAACATAGGATAATTTAATCCAAAGATGGTTTAACGCTGATATAAGTTGACTGTGCGAGTAGAACATTCGAAATGCGACACAAATCAATCGGACTAAGTGAGTGACTAATCGGATAAGTAAGTTACTAATCGATTAGTAAGTGACTAATCGGACTAATTAATCGGACTAAGTGAGGTTTAAAGGTACCGTCCCCTGATGGCGTGAAAGCGTAAACCATGTGAGTGAGTGAGAACCTGATATCTGTTCATCTCTTTCTATCGCACGATTTCTGCTTTACGCTGACGCTTTACGCCGTCATGGGACGGTACCTTAAGGTATCATTTACACCTTCGGTAAAAATTTCCAGAACGTAAAATTTTTCATTGGAGTATTAGAGACAGACTGTGTATCTGACTCTTTTACTCCAATGCAAATTTTCCGTTCTGGACAATTTTTACAGAAGGTGTAAACGCTCCATAAGTATTTACTCGCTTGTGCGACGCTGTTGTTTGTGAAAGGGCTTTCACAAATGGCGCTAATATTTGTGTCCCAGCGATATAGTCACAATTCCTTTATACCTAAGTGAAAAAGAAAATTTTTCTTCTGCTTCACTCTCATGTTAAGATGCTTGCACACTTTCATATTTTTGACCGAGCACCAAAACCAGGTTCATATTGAAGACTCGCCATAACCATAGCGCGCGTGATAACTCAGTGACACACTCTATGTATTTTAACTTCGTGGTTGTAATGCATCACTCGACCGACTGATTCCCTACCTCGATCTCTTTGCTGTTTGCTGCCATTCAATCAACATCATAAGGGACGCCAGCAACTATTCCACTTTTTATCAAAAGCCATCACAATTTATAGAAAACATGAGCTGTACATCGAGTGAGGAGATGGACTGCCTGGAGTTGGGGGACACTTGTGTGTAAGTAGTTTTCCGAAATTCTTTATGCAAAAAAAATAATATAATTTTATACAAAAATACAAAATTTACAGCACGTTTATTTTTAATATTAAAAAAATACAAAATTTACAGCACGTTTATTTTTAATATTAAATCAATTTCAAGCTGAAATTTTTTTAGTAAATTAAATTCTTTGCGTTTTAATCAATTTCGATATCAAAATATTTTTAAATTTTGATTTAACTTTTAAACTGCATTGCCGGTCTGACAGACCATTACAAAAATTTTCTTTGCTGATAACTATTTTCAAAGTATAATAAGAACTGAGGCTTTTCAGTATAGCTTAATATTTTATAAAAATCTGTTAGTTGACAACTTTTTCAAAATTTTTTTTTCAAATTTGTTGAATTTTGTGTTGCAACATAAGTAAAAAATAAAAAAAATTGAATTAAAATAATATAGAAATTACTTTTCTATGTTAAAAAGTAAAAAATATTTACAATTTTTGTGTTTAGAAAATTATAAATACTAAAAAAAACATAAAAAAAGGGAATAGCGGTCTGACAGACCGGGGGTAGCACTGAGTTTGATTTTTCAGCACGTAGCAGTTTAAAGATTAAATAAAAATTAAAAACCTAAATTAAACATTTTCAAAGTTTAATTAAAATTTAATTTTCAAATTATTTATTTTTTAACCTTCTACTATTACTAAATATTTACAGGGAAGTGACTGATGCCGTATTGGAGAGAACTGCGACCAAAAAAGATTCGCCCAATGCTCCGGTGAGATACATCATATCCAATTTAAAGGATAAAAAATTGCGGCTGGTGGTTTGGCGAGATCTACACGCTCAATATGAGGGAAAGTTGCCGAATAAGGTAACGTTTTCAAAACAATTAATAACACTGGTTTACAGTGAAATTGTCAATCGAACAAAACAATTTTTTTTCAAATAGTAGGTGTTTTTTGAGTAAGAAAATCATAGTTTTAATTTTTTTTCCTCGTGCAGTTTTTCTGTAGCTTCAAATTTTGCATTTTCGAGGTGCGACGCCACTCAAACTTACCTGTAGGAAAATAAGCTTGTTAAAATATAATAAATGAGGTATCATTGGAAAGGTAATTAAATTACCTTTCGATCCATAGGTCACAGAATAAAATTCAACAAAAAATGAGAGAGTTACAGTCGATTAAAGATGAAATTTCATGACAATTTTGATGATTTTTAGACATTTGAGTAACTTCTACTATTTTTTTCTACATCAAACAGGAAAGAATGTTTAGGTTTTAATTTTTTTATTGATAGACTATATCATTACACAAATTTTGAGCCCTTGTGGATCTCGATTGGATTAAAAATGACAATTCTACACTAAATTTAGTGAACGAAACTACATTCTTCATTTTTTATATCCCTTAAACATTTGCAGCAAAAATTGAAGTAATAAAATTTAGTTAAGCTCTAAAGTTACTAAAATCACTAATCAAGGATTTCTGAAATCGTAGATTTCGAATCCAATGTTAGTTTTCTAAATTTCAAAATGGCGGATCCAATATGGCGGACAAGTTTTTAAAAATCGATTAAATTCGTCTTAAATTCGTTACTCGGGGGTTTTCGGGGTCGCTGATTACGAATCTGATGTCAGATTTCAAAAATTAAAAATGGCGGATCCAATAGGTGCGAATTCGATGAATTTTAAAAAACTCGATCACCATTATGAATCCATAATTTTCAATTTTCGAAATCCGACATCGGATTCGTAATCAGCGACCCCGAAAACCCCCGAGTAACGAATTTAATACGAATTTAATCGATTTTTAAAAACTTGTCCGCCATATTGGATCCGCCATTTTGAAATTTAGAAAACTAACATTGGATTCGAAATCTACGATTTCAGAAATCCTTGATTAGTGATTTCAGTAATTTTAGAGCTTAACTAAATTTTATTACTTCAATTTTTGCTGCAAATGTTTAAGGGATACTAAAAATGAAGAATGTAGTTTCGTTCGCTAAATTTAGTGTAGAATTGTCATTTTTAATCCAATCAAGGTCCATAAGGGCTCAAAATTTGTGTAATGATATAGTCTATCAATAAAAAAATTAAAACCTAAACATTCTTTCCTGTTTGATGTAGAAAAAAATAGTAGAAGTTACTCAAATGTCTAAAAATCATCAAGATTGTCATGAAATTTAATCTTTAATCGACTGTAACTCTCTTAATTTTTGTTGAATTTTATTCTGTGACCTATGGATCGAAAGGTAATTTAATTACCTTTCCAGTGATACCTCATTTATTATATTTTGACAAGCTTATTTTCCTACAGGTAAGTTTGAGTGGCGTCGCACCTCGAAAATGCAAAATTTGAAGCTACAGAAAAACTGCACGAGGGAAAAAAATTAAAACTATGATTTTCTTACTCAAAAAACACCTACTATTCGAAAAAAAATTGTTTTGTTCGATTGGCAAAAAAAAGTTTTTAATTTGTAAACCTGTGTAATCTATTGTGATAAGTTTACAATTAAATATGACTATCCTTATTTTATTTTATACTAATTTAATTGAATATATAAAATTTAATAATTGTAATTTATTAATAGTAATTATCTTTAAATATTTTAAATCAACTTAATTTTTTAAATAAATGAAAAACGAATTTTTAATTTAATTTTCAGATTATAAAGATATCTAGGGGGAAAGTTTTACCTGCCAATCCAGCATTTTTTCGCCTGGAGCAAGGTCTTATGCCTATTGAAATAGCAATTCAAAATCACACAATAATAGAAATTCTATCCGATTTGCCGAAGGAACCAACAGAAAAATATTGTCCTATACCCTTTAAAGATGTCTACTGTTCAATTGGGAAGCACGTCAGTGAGTACAATTTTTATTCTTTTTAATACATAATATAATTCAATAAACTTTAAATATTCGAAATTTTCCAAATTTTATTATATCGATTCCAAATTTTATTATAAAATAAAATATAAAATTTAAAAAAATAAATTATTTTCAACATTTCAAAACATGAAAGATTTTTCATTATAAATTGGTTTCGCACTTTTAATAAAATTTTTATTAATTAATATTTTTGATTACAAAGAAAATTCAATTTTTTATTCAAAATTCAATATTTATTATTCATTCCTTTTTTCAGATATAGCGGGCTTTATTAAAATGCAAGTGGAGTCTATTGTCTTCAACAATTCCTCTTACGGATCAGGGACAATAACGGATGTTCACTACAAATTGCTGGTGAACGTCACCCAGTTTAATAAGGAGTTCAGTCCTGCAAAGGGAAAGTTTGTAAAATTAAACGGATTACTAAGAAAAAATGAACATGGGACGGCCATATTACAAATCGCTTCAATGAACGACATTCGAGAAGTACCAGATGCACCTGAAGCAACTGAAGTGGAATTAAAGAAGGGTTTCGCAAATCCACCAAAAGCAAGTTCACCAAGTCAAACATCTAATGGCGATCCTCAAGCTCAAAAATCTAATGGCTCTTCATCGGCTCAAAGCCATTCTCCACTTCAAGTACAGCTTGATTCCTCAACGGCACAAAGCCTCCCTCAAGCTCAAATGTCTCAAAATTCATCACCGTTAAAAAGCCCAGAAGAGCTTCCTAATGTTTCGAAACGATTTGTGGGTTCAAAAGAGGATTTTCCCAAGTTACCTCCTCCTAAAAAATCCAAAATGCCGGAATAGAAACTTGATTTCAAATGGCTTTATAAAAGTTCTTTTTGTTTAAAAATTAACCATTTTTATGTTCAAATTATCCAAAATGCCGGAATAGAAACTTGATTTCAAATGGCTTTATAAAAGTTATTTTTGTTTAAAAATTAACCATTTTAAGTTCAAATTATCCAAAATTCCGGAATAGAAACTTGATTTCTAATGGCTTTATAAAAGTTCTTTTTGTTTAAAAATTAACCATTTTTAAGTTCAAATTAACAATAAGCTTACTTTACTTTTCTTTTATTCCTCGTAGTACATATTATAATAAAATATAAATTTTAACTCTTCAGTATTATAAAAATATAATTTTTGTGATATATGTGATATTAATTTTATATTAATAATAATAGAGAGAATGTGCCTTGTTAATTTAAAAATTGTGCCTTGTTAGATTAAGAACTTATGTTTACTTTAAAAGTCTGATTATATTCTATTATAAGTATGTCTGATTATGTTATAAGTATTGCAAATTAATTGTAATAAAATAAATTTTCTTAAAAAACTATTATTGACTTATAATTCATCTGATTTTTCCTTGAAAAATTAATAAATAAATATTATTATTTAAAATCTAAATTTAAGTAGTTTGAATAACTTTAATATTCAATTTTTTTAGATAAAAAAATATTCAATTTTTTTTAGATAAAAAATACAATATTTAATTATTCTTTACCATTATAATAAATTATATTCTTGACCATTATTTATTTGACTGAAAATTAATAAATAAATATAATTTCAATTTTAGTAGTTTGAATAATATTCCATTTTCTATATATTTAATTAATTATTCTTTTTTTATTAATATTATTATTTTTTTATTAATATTAATTAATTATTCTTTTTTTATTAATAATCGTTTTGAGTAGATGTTAACATTTTGATGCCTTATAGTTATCGTGTGCCGCCTGGAAATATTGATTTATTTTCTCTCTCACTTAAAAAAAAAGAAAGATACAGTTTAAATTCGAAAGTTAGCGCCAAAAAAAATTGTCCAACCGCAGTGCCATCTACAACATGACTTTTTTCTTGCTATAGCATGCGTTTCTCATGTTTATGTTCAATGCTTTTCAATTCGAGTGTCATCGATTGTTTCGATATTCGATACTCTCCATGACTTCATGCTTTTTTTTTAGTAGGAACGGTTATTTGCTTTCGCGTACCGATTTGTGCACTGACTCACCCCACCTCTTATTCCACGTTCGATAAACATTACCATGTCAATGTCTGTGAGGAGTTCCAATCTTATATTCGTGTACTTTAGCATGGCATCCCATGTCAATCCTGGCGTTGTATAATAATGTGCGGGATCAAGACCGTATGAAATTAAACACTGATTTCTGAAATTTTCGAAGACATCTGCAAGTAACAATATATTAGTTTGCATATACAAATACACATAATCACCTAGATTTTGACAACCAAACTCACTCCATACTTTCTGCGCATGTACATAATCTTCATCAGAAACATTCGAATCATTCAATGTACTATAGAATTTTTCTTTCGGTGGCAACTGTGTTTCATCAAGTTTTTCCCTAGTGTCAATATACTCGTAGGGGAATACCCCTTTACGCGTTAACAATTTAATTTTTTCATTACTGTAATTTGAAAAGACTGAGTTTACAATTTTATATTCATTAAGATAGGATGCTAACTTATCCAATGATGATGCCATAAATTTAAATGAGTCGATGAAACGGAACTTCAAAAAACTACCCTTTACATTTTTAGTAAAACCAATATACTTTTCCTTATTTATAGGAAGCAGATTAACATTACCATCAAATGATGTAGCAATAGCTTTAATAATAAAATGAGCGTCGTAGCCACTAAGATTATGAAAAACAACTTTTATGGTCTGCGACTCGTGATAGTTAATGTTACAATCTTGATGTGCAGGTCCACGATACTTCCCTGTTAGATGACAATGGTCTCGCACTTTTATATCTTCATTCACGAATTTCTTTCTACAAATATGACAATTACTATCATTTCGAAATGCTGCTAGTTGGTGTGGACTTAATGTTTCCATTGGTACAGGATTCTTGAACATTAAATCTAAATTTTTAGACAAATTTTTCAACTCAGTTGAAAACCATTTAGAAGGATCTTCCTCATCCTTTGGTGATGCTTTATATGTGAATAACGAATCATCAAAGGTGCATTTTAAGTAGTAGCCAATACTGAGCGGTTTATGATTTTGGAAAACCTCAGTATTGTTGGCTTGTAGTTGTCAATTCTCTGCTGGAACTAAAAGACTCTCACAATCAGCATAAATGATAAACAGCACACGCTCCTTGTTTTGGAAATTTTTAAATTCAACAAATTTTCTCCCCACTTCCGGTAGTTTAATTCTGGTGTAATTTATCTTCCTGCAAGTTTCTTCATGTTCACTAAGCTTATTTTCATTTCCAAAGTAATGGAGGCAGCGATCACAGATGTATTTCTTGTTTTTCTTCTTTGATAAATCGGAACTAACAAGTCTTTATAAATCCTTTATCCAAACATAATGGTAATTAAAAGAGATGAGATTTATTTCCTCCTCATCATCATCATCATTACTTAGATTTTCATCTATGTAGTGGTCTTCAATTCGAAGAAGATTGATGTGATTAACCTTCTTTTGAGATGAAAGATGTAGAGGTGAAACTGTAAACTTCTCACTTTTTTTGACAAGTCCATATACATTTACTGAAATGTTGTTTAGAGATTCAAATTTGAAAATGTCTTTTAGAGAAACAGGAAAGTCTATTCCACTAAAATTGAGTGTATCTTCATAGGGTCTGTATTTTGAAACTCGTTCGGCGTGTTTGTCTGCTGAGTACAGTGCTGACAATATTGCCTATTTAAAACACTGATTATCAGCATTTTGGACATTAATGCAGGCATGTTTTCGATTGATAGCAGCTGGCAAATTGATATAAGAACTTGCGCGCATAGAATTGTATTTGTTAATGTTAACCTCCAACCTTTCATTAGAATGAAGTCTCCAATTAGAATCTTTCTCTTGGAATTCTTCCATTCTTTTTAAGGTTACTTGTTTAACATTTACATTGTACCAGTCATCTAATAATGTTGTAACTAAAATATCACCAGTTTTTGCGATAAATGTCTTTAAATCAGATATTTCTTTCGTTTTTCCATCGATTGAATCTTTAACAAATTTCGCGTACAATACTGTATACACTTTCAACGGACCAAACCGGTTTAACGCTTTTTCAATGTTAACCTTAAATAAACTAAAGGCATCATCAAGGAATTCATTGATGTCCTTGTAATCTAAATTCATTACAGCACTATTTTGTAACCTACCCTCAAACGCTTCATCAAAATCCACCCATTTCATTCTATCATTCGACACTTGCACACCTGCACCGCGTTTCATTACATTATCAAAATGGCAGCGCAAGTATTCCATTTTTTCAATTAAATTTAAGCACCTAGATCTTTGTGATGAAGAGAAGTTGGACTTATGAAAAAATTCCCTTATAATATTCCTATACCTTTAACACTTGTTCTGCCATTCAAATGCTGTAATGCATTTTTCATCACCAGTCAATGATATTGTAGTAATGAGCTGACATTCCACTGTTTTAATAAAGTTGTCAGATTCCCGAAAAAATTCATTGTACTCATCAGTGTCAATACGTTGACGAATCTTCTTAGAAGATTTACACTTTGGCATCTTAAAAGCTAAATATAAAAAAAAATACACCTAAAACTAAGAAAAACTTAAAAATCCTGAAATAAAAAATCCACCACCACCACCACCACCACCTTAATCCTAATATAAAATAAAAAAAGCCTAAAATAATAAAAAAAAAAGACCACAACCTTAAACCTAATACAAAATAAAAAATAACTGTAATAATAAAAAAATCAATAAAACCAACAAAAACTTTAAAAATTGACTGTGGAAACTCTGAAAATTGACTCTGAAAACCCTGAAAACCTGGAAATAGTTAGTTGCACCTTACAAGATGCACCTGATGATTGTGGCTCACGGTCTGCAACTTACACCCCAGTCCCCACCATACTCACTCCCCCACTACACCGCACCCCACTACTCCAGAGTCTCGCGCAACTCTCCTACTACAGTATAATAAACGTTTACTAATAGAATAACTTAAAGTTAACAAACTCCAAAAAGGGAATCGGTAAAGTAAAAAATAGGACCCTGACAGAGATTGCACAAAACTATGACAGAAATCTACCTTACCGACTAATGGTAATACTTGCCATCAGTCGGTAATTCCCTACCTTTTAAAGGTAGGTAATTTAATTAATTTAATTTTTTACCAAGCGAGCATTACCATAAAAATCATTAAAGTCAAACACTAACTGAATTTCATTTATGGGTATGAAATTTAAAATCACCCACACCATCGGACCTAAAACTGAAAATAAAAATTCAAATATCCCTCCAAGGGAGTTTAAATCGGGTAAAAAAATGGCGCCATCTTACGGTGGCAGCCGGTACTAAAACTTGGTAGGTAAGGTAGAACACCCCCTCTAGCTCACATAAAACTTTAAAAATATAAATTCAAATATCTCTCCAAGGGGGTTTAAAGTGAGAAAAAATAAAATGGCGCCATCTAACGGTGTCGGCCGGTACTAAAACTCGGTCGGTAAGGTAGAACTCTAGCTCACCTAAAACTTTAAAAATATAAATTCAAATATCCCTCCAAGGGGGTTTAAAGTGATAAAAAAATAAAATGGCACCATCTAACGGTGTCAGCCGGTACTAAAACTCGGTCGGTAAGGTGGAACACCCCCTCTAACCCACTTGAATTACCGACATCGGTCGGTAACTGGGCCAGAACCCGCCTAGCTATACTACTAGAAATGTAAATGGTTTCTTATGAAAATTGAGAATTTTCTACAAAAATATTAAGAAATGGAAATTTGTAATATTTTTTCTCAAAATAAAAGAATTAGTTTGTGAACAATATTGTTATTGAGAAATA